CCGAAATCAACAATACAGCAATCGAACAATGTTCGACAGTCAAGCGATCAATTATAGAGTGTAATTGATAGAATGAGAATTTGGCTTTAATTGTTGTGTGAAATGAATGAGAAATTAGCAAAAGATAATACTTTCGGTGATGAAAGCTATGAGAGTAATGATAGCAGCAAGGAAAAGAAAGAAAATCTTGCTGAAACGAATGAAAACCCTGTTAGGCTCGGACGAGCTAACGATGCTCAGATATCAGAGTTAGAAAACACCCTCACAACGGCGTTCCTATCGTAACATAACAACTGTACGCAATACTAATTTCTCGACCCTCTCCATCACTCCTCGACACCTCCAAATCACCTGAAATGGGTAATTTCGCCCCTATGAGAACCACTGGTATAATGAAATGATTTACTATACACTAAAGCGGATTTGATGTAGTGCATAAGCAGATGATATCGAAAACAAACAACTAATAAAGGTACCTTGTCTAGCCCACTCAGACCAGCTTTATTGTCGTTGAATGTTTGCATTTCTCAACGACTGACTGCGTACAGCATGTTTACTTATAAATAATCAAATCCTGTAAACAGCTTATGTGCTTGATATTAAGTATTCAAATTTTGATTTCTCTGCAGTCTCCGTACTATGAAATTCGAGTATAAGAAAGAAAGTGAAAAGGCAGCACATCGACAAAAACACACAGCACATTAACGCCACAAATAATACCATGAAACACTACCAGGTATATATGAGCGGACAGCTTGGTGTGCTAATTAGAGAATTCTCGTTGAATTCACGAATATTTCCATTCAAACAAACAGGAGTTTCAAGATCAAATCCTATGCTGAGAGCATTGCAATCAGGACTGTAAAATTCTCAACTCAAAATGAACTGAAAGAGCTACGCAATTGCTAAAATACAATAAACAAAAAGAACAAACAAAATTCGTTGCAAAATATTGAGGCATTGCAAAGCTATTACATAAACTCTGCGCATTAGAATGCTGTGATACACATGCAATTCACGATTAAGCTTCAGTAAAAGCTTAGATCAGCATATTAATTTCAAAGCAAAAGCAATAATTCCGCTTAAAAATGCACACCACTCTTCAAAACAAAGCTGATTATCCATAAATTTCAATTTTTTGATTGAAGCAGATTAATGCTTGAATCATATAGTTCATTATTTTAAGAAAATGATCGAGCGCTTGTATGAGGTGCTTAATGCAGTGAAAATTAGTGATGTACGGTAGAAAAATAAATATGAACGCTTCTGTCGTCAAGTGATAATCGTTGATTTTAACAGCGAAATAAGTTGATGAAATCAAAATTAATAATGTCGTTGAAATCAACATTAAATTCTAGAATCATGCAATCAGATCACCTTCGTTTGGATGATCATTAATGAAGAGTTTTGTCACTACTCAAGAAAACTTCTTGGCTTTTGAATAATCATTAAAATTAGCTCGTTTTTAGAAATATGATATGACTGGACACGAAAAAAAGACGAATATTTGCATGTTGTTAACAAATTTCCAATTTTCATTTCAAACTGTAGATGAATTATGATGTTTTGAATATGTAATATAGCACAAAAAAAGAGCTCCAATTCTGACTAACTGGCTTCAGAAAACACAATCGTTAATCCGACAGAGTGCAACTGAATGGTCATGCTTTAATATTTAATGCGAGCACATTCAAGTATAATTTCATAGGACGGTACCACTATCAGCATTGTTCTTTTTATGACATAATCTATTTTAACTTTTTTTCTCACCTCTAACATAAATGCATTCTCGAGAGTTGTATTGTGAGTATTACGAAAAACATCTACGCTCAAATTAATTCATTATCCAGATGCATTCAGTCGGCATTTTTTAAATGAAACAATTGGCTGTTTCCAAATGAATAGATACCAAACAAACAGTGCTCGACAAATAAACTCCGGAGTGTGATTGTTGTCGGCTAATACTGTGATGATAGGTGCTCTCTCGCAAAAACTTCGAATGCATATTGAATGTCGTCTCGTGTCTCGTTTCATCGTTTCTCGACACGCCTCACTGCTTCATGCCATATATGGATGGTAGCCATGCACACAAATAAACCCATCTGATCATGAAGCTGCTTGCATGCGTGCCGCGTACATGCTTCATCAGTGCACACTGCTCTTATTCATCCCATCTTGTGTTCACATCACATGCATTCATCTATAGTGCAAACGTTGTGAAAATCCACTGCCATATGAGTCGACTCAAGTCACGTTAAAATAAGTCACTGCATTCACATCGACGACTTGAGACGAAAATAATCTTTTTATGAGCTGATTTACTTGAATTTGACAAGTCAAGTAGTGAGTAAATAATTTCTCTACGCGATCAAATTTGCTTCATTCTCTGCGTATGTGTGTTTCTTTAGCAATGTGAATTATTATTTTCAGATGTTTTCAGTTAGTATATGCTAGTTCTGGAGTTCATGAGGGTGAACCTACGGTTTTTATTGTCACTTATGGAAAAATTTGAAGTTCTTCAAATGATTTCGTTTTCGAATATCTTTCCGAGGTGAATTATGTAAGGGAAAAAGTATACATATGCATTGCATAATCCAAAAATTATTGATCATTGAAATAATTTTGATGAGAATGTGGAGTAAAACATTCATTGGTTTGATATGAGCGAGCACAATGCTAGAGGATTTGCATATTGATAACCTGTCAATATTTTCACACTTCAGTACAATTTCATTTAATATTTTCATCCCATTATTATGCAGACGTCGATAATCAGAGTGAAATATGAAGACTGATTATGTTTAGACTTAAGCTTAGGCTGAGGCGCATATCAAGGCTGAAGTGTACATTAAACAAGTGGGTGGTTCTGTCTTATGACGCTGAGGTATCTATTAAACAAAAATATGGTTCCCCGGTATGAGCCTCAGTCTAAGTCGAAGTCCAAATATAATCGATCGCTATATTTCACTATGACTGTCGCCAGTCTCATTATATCGCCCGTTTTTGCAAATTCACTCACGAGAAACGATAGTCGCAGATCAGTTAAGAAATAGTTGAAAGTAATATCGACGATAATTATGATATTAATAATGATAGTAATAACAGTAATGACAGTGATAATGACTAGAAGAATAATAATGATTGTTTCAGTTGATTGATATTTCAGTTGACGAATAATTACTCCGATTTTAAGGAGCTACTTTTGAAGCGGCAGCAGTTACTCTCAAATATGAATGTTTTCAGTAATTTGGTAAATTGTATATAAGCACTATCAATATCAGTCAGCAGACTGGCGATAGACGATTGCAGTGAGTTTGTATCGTGATTAACAGTGATATCGGTCAGCAGATTACGACGTTCAAAAGTGAATATGTCATCAGCACGCTTTTACGAGACTTCAACGAGGTATCTTCGTTTCCTTACGTTTTCTCTTTGTGCAAGAAGTTTGCAGTGGAAATTTGTTGATTGAATTCAAGAAACAATTGCACAGAGAAGAGAGTTGCTGGTAATGGTGATGTATTGTTTGATTAATGCGGTAATGATTATTAATTAGATGTTTTTGTGTGCAGTACTGACACTAGATCTGGTGGAATGCTTCTGAAGAGGATTGTGCAACCGAAAGAGAGTGACTTTTATGTACTTGACAATATGCAGTCAATTAGTTTATAATTGTAACTGCGACCACCATTTCATTCGAATCGAATCTTCTTTACTTTCAGTTGTCATTCTGAATTAGTTTGTTCATGGTGCGATGATTTGAAATTATTCAAAATGTTTTAGCGGTTTGAACTTCGATCGATTTGTTGATCGTTTTGATGAATCAACATTCACCAAGGTTCGACAACAGTATTGGACAGCCAAACAGTTAATTCGATCGAAACTCGGCAAAAAAGTTCAATTGAATTCATTTCAATTCAATTTCTTTTTTNTTTTTTCATTTCAATTGAACTTCTGTTACTTGACGAAGCAATTCGCAGAAAGACGAAAGTAATGAAACATTAAGTTTTGATGCGTAAAGTGTGCCCTTTTCGATGATCATATGACCGTCATCGAGTGAATAAATTTTTATTCTGAAATAAGGAATTGGTTGGTGATACATTGACGATTGCTGGTAGTAGCTATGATAATTATTTGTCAGAATCAAAACTGTTCGTCGGATTTTTAGGAGGATGAACATTTGTTGGCATCAGATGCAGAATTTGATGCAAAATTGAGTCTTTTCCGATCTTTACGTGAAACATCGGATCAAATGTTATGTTGTATCGATGATTATCAACACTTTCTTGGAGGTAAGTGAGTGATCGCTCTTTTGAATGCAGCATCATTAGTATGTTCTTTTGTTTCAAGTATGAATTTCGAAGAAGAAAATCGAATTGCAGAATTCATGTAAGCGATTGTTAGAGTTGGATTCTGATTCTGGGAATGGGGATGTTGGTTATACTTTAACTAGAACTATTCGGTATTATGTATGGCGCATACTTCAGAATGTTCACAATTATGAGCATTTTAAATTGCTTTAGACATGTGAATTTAGACTAAGCGAACTAATTTGAATGATGAACCAATTATTTGCATGAGTCTGGCTCACGTTCACTGAATTCAAATTATTCGAAAGTCGACCATTTAGATGACAGTTATTTATATAGTGAAAAGTTATAATGATTTGTTGTGATGTTCGGATGTGATGGATTGTTGAATTGATGATATGGTTCATTTAAGAGTTGATTCAAATGGAGATAAATTTCGGTAGAATGTTGAAAGAGGAATCGAAGTCAGAGAAGGATGATACGGCGCGTGCGATGACTGCAATAGGCCGAGTTCAAACGCTTTCTGCTCACCATCGGTTACTTTCGCATTATAAACTACAGTTTGCATGCAGCTGTTATATCTAATTTCATCGTGCCAGCTGAATCATCCTTCGTCAAATCACTGAATGATCTCTCGTCATATACACAGTCGTTCACCATTCAGACCTTAAATGTTTTGTTTTGTGCCGCAACTTCAGTAAATATTGAACTATTCATCTCATGGATTCATATGAACGTTACTAACGATAGTACTGCTGAATAATAGTGATAGTTGTTAAGTAGTTTTTTTTTCACTCAATGGTAGTTTACTGAATATCAGACAACAAATACGAGGTCCGTTACTACGTTTCCTCAGCGAATTACAAGTTTTTACTGAACGAGCAATCATGGACTGTGCCGATACGGTAGATGCTGCCGAAAGAGCACGTATTGAATACAGGGGCTCGTTACTTTGGATGAAGAAAACCAGTAATGAGGTACTTATTTTGGCTTATTTATTCCGTTGATCCATTCGCATTGTTATCTGTTGGCTCATAATCTGATGATTAAGTCGGAACCTTGCTAGATAAGATAACACGTAAACCGTCAGTGGTTCAGTCAACCAGAAAAGATTTCACAGAGAAACGTGAACGCTGTTCAGAGCGATTTAGTGAATAATCGTTGAATGACTTTTTTCGATTGTCTTAATGACTAATTTGTTAATGTTTTCTTAGCTGGATCCAGACACCGAAAATGCGATGGAAAATTTTCGAACGGCGCAATCAGTGGTGAGGAGAAACAAGGAACGTTTGGATGGTTTGAAGTTGGATACATTGCAAAAAGTTGATTTACTTGCAGCAAGTCGGTGTAATCTCTTTTCACAGGTTAAATTTGAAATATTTCATAATCACCGTCGAATTATCGCATGCAATTATTTCATTCCCACTTTGATTCTTTGAATCGATTTGATTCTTTCAATTGATATCAATATTATTCTTTGAAGTTGCTTGAAAGTTATCAGAAGTGTCTCTACAAATATTTTGATCAAATATCATCGGCATATTCGAGGATTTACACAGTTGTTTCTGGTTCCAAACACTATGAATTCGAAGTGCTCAAGGTGCATAACTTTTGCTTTCTGTTTAATTCACTTACTGATATACTCACTCATTTCTTTTTTAAAGACTTATTCAGTTATTTTCGTTTGTATGCATTCGCTTAATTTCTCGTTTTTTTCTTTTTTTTAAACTGATAGAATTAAACACTTCAAATAATTCCGATCCAATTGAGGAACTTATGGAGCCAGCGATTGAAGCAGCACCGAATGAGTCGGATGAAACTGGTGAAGATGCAGTTGTTGAGCGTTCAGAAAGGTTGAATTTCAATGTGAATAAATTTTAATTTCATGAGAGTGCACATTGCATTGTTCAAACTTTTTTCAACGACAAGCACAGAATGTGATTGTAGTTGCAAGGAGGCGAATTAATTATTGACTCTCAACAATGCATAACTTTTAATTCTGATATTGATTAAGCAAAACGCATTCGTTGTCTAATAGATTCTTCCATGTGCTTCTCTGAAAGGACATTCAGTCGCTTCAATGGTTAAGAAGGGTATATTGTATTAATTTATCAGTTTAATTGAAATCGACGAAATGAATCAACAAATGGATCGAATTTTATTCGGAATAGAAGATTGTCAAAACGTCCTGGACAGTGATATATTCAACGAGAGAGATGACAGTCCATTGGGACAAACTGAAGATTTACCAGCAACAACGTCACCAACAAACCCAACACAAATGGGTAATACAAAAGCTGAAATTGGTCCGTTACCAGAAAAATATTTAATAAATTCTCAAGTTCCAAGGATCTCTCCACCACCCGGATGGAGCGCTAACAGAGGCAAGTTTAGTTTGCAAATGGTTTAGATGAGTATGAACAATTGAATTGCAGTGAAAAAGCAATACTCTAACGATCTTATGGAGTTGTTATCGAACAATGATGACCAATCAAAAGGTCAATCATTTGCTGATGAGTGGTCCAAAATGATGATGAGTGATAGTGCATCGTCTAATATTCTAACTACAAATTCAAATTCGAACGCAACAACAATCAATAATTTACCATCGCAGTTGCTCGATCTTTCGACACTCAGCAATCAATTCCCGAATCCATTCAATCAATCGAATTTTGAAGTAATTCATTACCTTTTATTTCATTCTTATCCATGCAACGCAATCTATTTTATTTATTTTTTAAAATCTAAGTCGTCTTTTATTCTTCAATTGGCTTCAAGCACTTTTTAAGAGGAATTTCAATCAAGTTCAGTTTCTACAGACAACTTTCGCGAATTTACCTAATTCAGTACTGAGTAACTTGGTGTTAATTCGGTACCAATTCTGGTAGAATTTGCGCCCCCTTCCCTCCCCTAAGAGGATAAATTAACCTTCAGCAATTATTCGATTAGCATCATGGAATCAATCGCTTCGGCGAAACTATTTCTGTGATATTTGTGTGAATTTTTGCTGAATTTGTATTATATAGAGTAGAATGCCTCTATAATAAACATTCTTCAGGCATGGAAAGGATTCCTATCAGAATTTGATGGCGGTACTCAGAATTCTGAAAAAAGCTGCTAGACATCAGCGAACAACATTGACATATGTAATACTTTCTTTGTAAAATGGCCAATAAAGTTTGACTAAACAATTATTTAATTGTGCACTGTTCAAAGGTACACTGTGTTGAAGCTTCAAAAGAATTCTAGCAAACGTCAAATTCAACGTAAATTTATCGCCATTTAAATGAAAATGCAGTTCACATCGATTTTGATTATACAAAGTGATCGATAGAACACGTGAAATAACTTCAAAGAAGGACTTTTTCATTCCTCTTTGCTCTTGAGAACTTTGAACTGTCCATATTTGTTCACTCAGCACGTTAACATCTGACTTATGTGTGAGAAATTTCTGAAAGGTATTATTTCCTTTATCTGTTTGTTGGCATCACAATAATGTTTGCTTGATTAGTGTGAATAATTATATTGAGAGAGTGTTTGTTTCTATATTGCACAAAGTACTCCTCTTGTGAACATTCTCGCTGTTTGGTGGAAACATCATGAATGTACTGCTCAGTAATTTGATACTCTTAGCTTTCTCGTACCGGTGATATAATAGGTTACTAACATTCAACAGTTGCACCGTTTTCTCTCTGAGATTTTCAGTAGTGCCCTCAGAAGACGCTCGTTTTCAGCTTCAATTCGTCTCATTTCTTCGTTTTTCTAAAACAAGTAATAATTGCTGCAGTTCCTGCTATGAGTGGGTGAATTCCACTGACTGCTTTTCCTATGATTCATATTCTTTAACAAACTGACGTCAAGTAATGTCTGATTTTTTGTAAGTTGTTCTTATTGCTCTTATTTTCGTTACAGATTTGATGATTTAAAAACAAATCTCATCACAATAATTTTAAAAGGCAAATATCTAATAGAATAGAGTGCATCAAAGAAATACTTTTTGTGAAAATCGCGATGGAGGCATTGACTTGGTTCGCGGACGACATTCAACAACTGATTTAGCATCAAGTACCTAAAAATGATACTGACAGTGAAATATTTGCAATGTTTCGATTGCTATTAAAACATCCAGAAGAAACAAATATGCTTGTTTAGCAGTCACTAGAACTGGCTAAACATTTTCGAGTGTTATTAGTTAAATAATATTTTGTTTCGAGCAAAAATAGGTATTGAAAACGGTTACATTCTACCGTAGAATAGTACTCACCCTTTCTCGATGCTTTATGAATGCGTGTATTTTTGTATGCCTTTCATCAGGCTTTTGCATTCTTCTGAAAACTCACAAACAACACATTGAAATTTCTTACAATTAGCATTTCATCGCCAACTTCAGAACAAATAACCAGTCGTATGAAAGTATTGAAATGCACATTATATACGAAATTAATTAGTACTGTTCTAGAATTCTGATGGATAATCGACTGTCGCAGGTTAAATTGAGTTGGACGAGGGACTGGAATAAGGTGAAAAAATTCATCCAAAAAGTTGCCGAGTAAAACCTGGATGCGGAATACGATAACTGTGATATTTTTAATACACTTTAAAAGCGATGCGTTAGTAACAAATAATGATGGCTAAATAAAAAATGAATGAATACATTGATCTTGATCAACGTGTTGTGTTCTACACTTTGTTCAACACTTGTTCAACACTTTGTTGGGATGTTGCTCACAATCAGAGATAACGGCAACTAGGTTACCCTGGAGCACTTACGAGGTCTTGAGAGGCCTTCTGGCTCTACCCCAAGTCCTTCGAGCCCCATTTCGCTATCGATTCAACCCTAACGTTGACGAAACAAACATCGTGCGCTAAATACAATTACATCAAAATAGCAATCAGCAAACAGCAAATTCATCTAATTAATCATTTGAAGTTTGACAGAACTGATCGATTCAATTCAAAGAATTTGCATTTTAATCACTCGATTAAAAAACTAAACTACATATGGCTTCGTGTTACTCAATATTTATGCGATTTCAGTGCAATGAAAGTAGTTTTCGCATCTCACTGAGTTGATGCACACCAATAACGATTTTCAGTCATTAAATGTATCACGTTGAAGTGATGGAACAAAGATGTTCCTTTCAAATAATCACTACTTCCGTTGACAACTTCAAACAAAATTTAAAACAGTTCACATATGAAATTTTCATAAACCATGAACCAACATATTCATTCAGTATTTTAATAACTCTATTGAATGAAGAAAGTGACGTTCATAATGATGGTACATTTGGACGACAATCGTTGAGTATTTTAGGAAGCAGAATTAAAATTATTCTATTCTTATGAATTGGTATGTTATTATTGGCGTAAAAGAACAAAATCGTAAAGAAAATGATACGAAAATGGATATGCGTAGTTTCTATTGACAGTCAGAGGAACAATATTCAATGCACTTATTGAAATGCTGATCCATTGCTATGACAACGCAGGATACACCTTCCGGAAATTTGCAAAATAACTCTCAACCATGTATGTGTAACACTTTGTTACTCAACTAGCTAGGTAATATCGCTTGTTGTTCACAGAGGTTATCGCATTGTCTGGGCTCATATACATTATAGCTTTCACCGGATCGCATACCACCAAGCAATATACCTCAACACTTTTGCAAATTTGCGGCATACACGTTTACATCACATGGAATCAGATTCCTCAGATCCTAATAGTGAATCTATTTCACATGTTTTTGGGCAAACTTGAGAATACGGCTAGCTCGAAGATGGCAATCCGCATATTGCTAGATGACTGTATTGACTGATCTGTTGTGATCAATGTGTATGAATGAGCGCAGTTGCGCTATCTATTCGAGATAGATTTAAGAAAATAGCTGTAACTCCTCAAGAAAGCAAAATCGCTCGGCAAAATATATTTTTCTGAATGTAGACATCCAGCTGGATCGATTGATGTAAAAAAATTCATATGTTACTGGACAAAGTTGAGAATACGGTAGCCTTGAAGGTGGCACCACATAGCCTTGAGATAGCATTAAGAAAATAGCCATATTTCCTCAACTAAACAGAATCGCTCGGCAAAATACATATTTTTCTGAATCTAGAGATTTCGCTGCATCGAACAGTGCAAGGAAATTTATATGCTACTGGTCAAACTGATCTCCGTAGATAAATATAGACATTACTCTCGCGCTATGAGAGTTACCATCTTCAAGGTAACCGTACTCTCAGGTTTGCTCGGTAACATATGAATTTCTTTGCACCGTTTCATTTCTCAGAATCTTTGATTTCAGAATATTATATATTTTGCCGAGCAATTATGATTGGCTGAGGAGATGTAGCTATTTTCTCAATGCTATACAGGCTGCCATCTTTGAGCCTACCGTGTTCTTAAGTTTGCTCAGTAACATGTATATTTCTTTGTGTCATTCAATCCATCGGAATCACTGAATTCAGAAAAATATATATTGAGCCTAGCGATTTTGCTTTCTTGAGGAAATATAGCTGTTTTCCTAAAAGTATCTCAATTAGCGCATAGGTGCTCATTCACATACATTCACATACACTATCATTATAGATCAATTGTATACATTACTATGGCGCTATATGCGTTACGATCTTCAAGATACCGGTACTCTCAGGTTTGCCCGGTAACATTTGAATTTCTTTGCACCATTCAATTGCTCAGAATCTCTATTTTCAGAATATCATATATTTTGCCCAGCAATTATGACTAGATGAGAAGTTATATTTGTTAATGCTGTACGGGTTGCCATATTGAAACATACCGTACTCTCAAGTTTGCCCAGTAACATTTCAACTTCTTTGCGTCGTTCGATCCAACGGGATCTCTGAATTCTGAAAATATATATTTTGCCGAGAAATTATGATTAGATGAGGAGATGTAGCTATTTTCTCAATTCTATAGGTATAGCCATCTTCAAGCGTACCGTAATCTCATCGTTCATATACTTCTGACCATTTTAGATAAATATATACATCACTCTAGCATTATAGAGGTTACCATCTTCAAGGTAACCGTACTCTTAAGTTTGCCCAGTAACATATGAATTTTTGCGCACCATTCGATCCATCTGAATGTCTACATTTAGAAAAACATGTTTGGTTGAGCAAATCCACTTTCTTGAGAAGATATGGCTGTTTTCATAAAGCTATATCAATAACAAGCGTAAAGTCGCTCATTCACATACATTCTATCACCATAGATCAATATCAACACAATACTATTGCTCTATAGAGGTTACCATCTTTACCCCCTTCAATGTACCCGTACTCTCAAGTTTGCCCGGTAACATGTGAATTTCTTTGCACCATTCGACTGCTCAGAATCTTTACGTTCAGAATATCATATATTTTGCTAAGAAATTTTGATTAG